CCCCTCGTTAAACCAATGTTAAAACACTTATGTACACATTTACTCAACCCTTACTGAGAAGGAATATTTTTGCATTTAATTTTTTTAAATTTTAGATTATTCTGATTTAGAGTCAGAAATGGTAAACGAGCCTAACATCAAGAGAACCATTAAATCATTGAATTATTTTTATGAATAAATGTGAATATGAAGATGACTCCTTGGTAATATGAAAATGTCATTCTTCTTGTTTCACTCCCTCAGCCTACTCTCCCGGAGGCGCGTGCGCAATTAGCCCATATTGTAGAAGTCTGGTGAAACATAACAGCTTCCACATGCACCACTAACTGCACGTGACCTTATTGTATATTTTATATTAAATCCACCACCTAACCCACCTATATGTTAAAATTTACTAATGAACGGCGTCGGACATTTATGCTAAAAAACATATTTTCCGGACATAAACTGAGATCTTGCGCCGAGCGGCAAGATGCTCAAGATGGTCAGGCAAGTTGCCAAAATCTCTCTCCTGAAAGATGAGAACAGCTTGGAAGGTGGGCAGGGCAGGGCAGGTATAGGCGTTTATAGGGAGAGGGAAACGCTTTTGCTGTAGATTGGGCTTCCCCGAAATCTTTGTGGATGAGTCCCGCGCCAGGAGCTCGGCATTGTGGCCCGGTCTCCTATCTGCTTCTTCTTGGAAACGGCGTCAGAGAGCAGCTGAGCAAAGGCTTAACATTTCAAACGTCTGGCGGTAGGCTGTAAAGTTTCCACCCCGAAAACAGTGTCATGCGGCAGTAGTAGTAGGGTTGGTACAGGACTCCTCGGCACATGCCTTGGTGCTGTAGGAATGAGTTTTCTGTAAAGCTTTGCGCACAGCCACTCCAAACCAGGGGCCTCGTTTTTTGTTTTTTTTCTCTCTCTCTTTTTTGTTTGCTCATTTAGGAAGGAGCTGTTCTGTTTCTGTTTACGTGTAATTCTCCTGATTGAATTGTTACATATATATTGGAAAATTTCTATTTAAACACCCTCCTGTTGAAACTGAGCTGCATTGTATTGTGCCTCGAGAATCCTGTTTAACCATTTGCGTAAAGGTTAACTCAGTCAAGCACCAGGAAAGCAAATTCGCAGCGAAATTCCCTCAGCATTAGTCATAGATGTCCGCTCAGCTGGGAGGAGGCCTGCAGCCGGAGACCACAGTAAAACTCGAGGAACTAAAATCTGAAGAACTTTTTGATGTGACAAGGCCTGACGGATGTCCCCGGGACGGAGGAGAAAATAAAGTGGTTCTGTTCCCGGAGGGACAGCAGCAGCAGCCCCAGATGAAACCACGCAAGATGACTCGCAGTCCAAAATGCGCCCGCTGTCGAAACCACGGCGTCGTTTCTTGTCTGAAAGGCCACAAACGCTTTTGCCGCTGGAGGGACTGCCGCTGTGCCTGCTGCCTGCTGGTGGTGGAGCGCCAGCGCGTCATGGCGGCGCAGGTCGCTCTCAGACGGCAGCAGGCTGCGGAGGTGAGACGAGCACAGGGGCAGGTCAGTGAAAGAAGAAAGATAGGGGGCAACCAAAAACAAATAAAACAAACAAACAAAAACGCATCCATGGCATCCTGTAGATGATTATTATGGAGCAAGTACGCACAGTGTATGGTTGATGAAAGGGCAAAAATCAGTAGGAAAGCTCCCCAAAAGTTGATTCTGATCGTCTGGACTAGAAAAGCTGAGGATGAGCATGAGGCAGTGAGGGCGACAACACGTTTTAATATCACCTTTGGAAATGCGTCCCTGTATCTGTTTCTATAGAAACACAAAGGGCATATAATACATTTTATTAGAAAAAAACAGTTCACAGTCTGTGTTGTAGAGATAGCACTACTGTTTACTTTTTCAGTCGATACAATAATTATATCTCGAGCAAGGGACAACTTTTTAAAATCTCGATGAACGTGCAGAACAATATCTTTTATATTTTAAATACTTACATTGTTTTCACGTAACAGCATTTATATGCTCAAATTTTAAACATTTAAGCCCTGTTTTGTTTCTATTTTGAATGAGTGGTTTGAGCTTTAAAGTCAAGTCAAGCGTCAAGTGCTCATTAGGATGACAGAAAAGAAATATAAGAAACCAGCTCAGTGGGTTATATCACAAATAAAAAGAAAAGTGCAGAAATGAAAAGAAGCAAATGAGGTAATATAATGATAATAATAATAACATCCCTTAGAATAATGAGTGCCTTACTTTGCTAATTTGGCATTTATAGGAAAAATTACGTTTATTTTATTACTGCAGACAAAATTCTAAATCCTCCTTTAAAAAACAAACAAACAAAAAAAATCCGTTTAAACTAATTATATACATATGGTATAATAATGGATTTTATAAATAGCAGCTATAGATACAACTGGGTACTTGGGTGCTTCTCTGCGCAAAATAGCATAGCAATTCCACATAGTTAGCAATCCTAGTAATAGCAGTAATGCTGGAGATAAAAGGGCAAATTCTCTCTGTCTTTAGTTTTAATCCTAGAGATTTTCCTTGCCTCTTACATCATGTACTATTTTCCTTTAATTACCTTGTGAACGTCTGACTGTAAGATAATTATGTCCAAATGTCTTATTCCAGTTCATATGTTTCTCTCAGGGCAAGAAGGGGGTCAGGTGTGCAGCTCCACTGCGCAGAACGGCATATCAGTGTTACACCAGAGCGGCCGAGTCGAGCATCGTGGCCAAGAGCATCCTGCAGGGTGAAGTTTAATTAGCGTCTCCTTTATCGCGTCTTGCTTTATTCCCAGATTTTCATGTTCTGTACATGAATGAATCTTTACGTGTAGACAACTTCTGCTTTTGATTGAATAGTATTTAGGTTCATGCAACATCATAAATTAAGCTTTCCATGGAGCATATCATCATTCACCTGCTCCATGCTGACATGGTAAAGCTTTTGAACCTTCTGTCAAAGCTGGAAGAGAAATAAAATTGTGCAGACGTAGTTTCCCTGTAGGTTTCCTCCAGTAGAAACTCAATTTTAACTCTAACTGGCATTGTGGGAAACAGCTTCCCCCCCCCAATAAATGTATATTTGTCCCCAAATGGTGACAGTGACCTTCTCAGTGACATTTGCAGCCCCTGTGTAGAAACGTGTAATTGCATTAGCATTTGCAGGTCTTTTTGTAGTCAGTGTGCCATGGGTATTCCTTCTTAGTTTGGCTAGACACACTTCATTTATCCAAACAAACCCCCCATCATCGAGACTTCACTATTTCATAACAACAGGCCATTATTGTAATACACTGTGTGCATTATTACCTGCTGGCTTGCAGTCAAGACCTGCTGGAGGCTTTGTCTTCTTTATAGCCCTCTCTGTCTTCCCTGCGCTCTCAGTAAAGCAACAGTGACGCGGCTAACCAACTGCATTATTAAAATAATAAACAACAAAGTGCTCAGACATAAACACAGCAATTAATTGGTCGGAACAATATCATTATCCATAAATTGACTGCATAAACAAATGTGTAATAGCAATATGTGGCTTTGCTCCCACGTTCAGGAATCAAACCTGCTGTGCCTCCAGAGGTCGACACCCCCTGCTGGTCGAAGCAGACGCAACGTGACCAAACACACTTTACGTGCCCCTCCATCAGCGCCCGGATGAGGAAGAGACGAGCGTTTGCAGACAAAGAGCTGGAAAATGTGATGCTGGAGCATGAACTGAGACAGAGGGAGCTGCAGAATGACCTTTTCCCCCCCTCGGCCCTCCTTCCTATGCTTCACCCTCCACCCTTGCCCATCTCCCCTGGTCTCCACCGCTGCCCACCCAGCAAGGATCCCACAACTGAAGGGCAATCTAGCTATGTGCCCCTGTGCAAATACAAGCCCTTTTATGAGTGTGACTTCCAGCTTTATCAGTTCTTTCCCCTGAAGAGCAGGTACTCCACAGGAAATGACTATAATGACTTCTTGTTATGTCAGAGCTCCCAGCAAAGCAGACAGGAGAAGGAGGTGCAGAATGGATGGAAAGACAGCGAGAAGACAAAACAAGCAGAGGTCATTCCTTCGACATCCACACAAAGACTCCGAAATGATGGCAAGGCTATGTCATGTGCTATTCCTGTCAAATCCCCTTCAAAACAAGCAGAAATAATGGACTCAAATGGCTCTTCAACAGTCACACTTGCTATTTCTGCATCAGATCAGGGTGTCCTGGGTCAGCCAGACATCAGCGCACCCAGCAGGACTTTTGATCCCAGACCTTTGACAGCTAAGAGCTGGAGCTCAGACACTCCTGCCGCCCAGGCAGCTCCTCATGCCGACTCTGTTAAGAGCCCTCACGGCAGCTCAATCAGGACTCCGGCTGTGAGGCCATTACCTTTTTCTGTAGAGGCTTTGCTGAGGGCCTGACAGACAACTGCAAGCAGAGTATAGTGCATACTTTATTATGCACAACCCAACCTGAACTGTCTGAATATAATTGCAAAAACTGATTTTATGGTACAGGTTTGGAAACGCTATTCTGTAAAGTGCCAAAAGTGAGAGATTTTTTTAAAAACTATTTCTATAGAGTAAAATCACAGTGTTTGTGTTTTTTATTTCCATGAAAAGTTATTTTACTATATTTTATCTATTGAAAAAATTAACGCTAAAAGATATGTATATGTGCTACAATACCATATTTGTATTTCCATTCTGGGCTAATCACATCTTGCAACATGCATACTTTGAAAAAGTGTTTTCTTTTTTTATCATCCCATGTCAGTAGTGCCATAAAAATCTACTGAACCACTCTGTCTGGACTCTCTTTCATCAGTCACGCTTTATAGTCTTTATCCTCAGAAGAAATACACAACACAGACATAAAACAAAGCCAATGAAAAAGTCAAGTGCTTGTTGAACTTGTGCCCATTCCTTACTCGATGCTCTGATTTTTAACTTGCAGTGCAGATGTCCCTGGCTGATTTCTGTGGTGCTCTCACAGGGCTGTTTAGGGTCTAAACAAGGTGCTGCTGCTCAGAAATAGCTCACACCTAAAAATGACAAAGAAAGGAGACAGTTAAAGCACAAAGACTTTCATAAACAGCTTAACATTTATCTACTCCTTTTTTTTCCACCAAAGAATAAATGCAATGTGCTTTAAATATTTATCAGCATTTGATAAGCTTTGCAGTTCTTCAGATGGAATACATGTTGCCATTCTGACATTATGACTGTATAAATATTGATCACACAGCACGCGGTTCAATATTTCACACAGTATCATTTCATCACACCAGCAGACTGAGGGGATATGGGAAATGCTCACCAAAAGGTTGACTGGGAGGCTGCCAGTGTTGCCTAGGCGACATTGTTCTTTATTGTATGCTGAGCCTGACGCCAGCCGAGTTTGTTTGAACACGCATTTGATCTATATCCGGTTTTTACTTCTTTCTCTTATCCAGTTTTTTTTTTTTTTTGTTCTGCTCTGTAATCTCGCAGAGATGGAGGTCAGATACTTTTGACAACTCGGGACCTTGTGGCGTCAACACAGAGGTGATAGCGCAGAGGCTTTGTTTGCGAGAGTCTACCAGCATATCGGAGTGCCTCTCTCCCCCGTGTCTTTTCACAGACAGACAGGGAAGGGAGATTGGCACAAAAAGGGGGGGAAAAGACGACGTCGCAGAAGGTGGGGCGTCCTGTTTTATTGCGCGCTATCTGTGTCATGTTTTTTAAAACAAAAATTAAAACCTGTTCTTTTCCAGGGAAAACAAATGGCCAATTTCACAAAAGATACACATCAGTCACCGAGAACTGATAATGACTTCTGTGAAGAATAACACAAATGATCTAAATCAGCTTCTCCTCACCTGGAGGAAAAAAGCTAATTTATCTGCTTCCTTTCGTTTTTGCAGTGTCCCTGTAGCCAAGCTTTATGTCAGCTTAATAGGCAGTGAGTGCTCTGAAATGTCAATCACTCTCCAAAGATCTTGTTAGGACTGTGGAAAAACAGATTAGCTTTAATTATACTCTGTGCTCTTTTCATATGATATTGCACCTCCAAAAAATCCATCCAGAAGCAGAAGACTGAACGGGTTGCACTGCATTTAAAATACACTTCTGCAATGGAGGTCACTTCATGGGCTGAAAACTGATGCTGGTGAACACAACATATTGCTGGACAAATACATGTTAAAACTTAAGCCTCCCTCAATATTATTTATAAATAAGATTCAAGTACTGCTGCATTCTCTGGACCCAAATTAATTTAATGCAATCCAATCCAACTTTAATTCAAGGGAAGTTTAACAAAGTAGATCAGTTAAAAGACGGCAATAAAATAAAAAAACACATATTAAGATGCATCGATAAATAAAAATAAAACAGAAAATTAAAAGTCTGAGGAGAAAAATTGAGATGTCAGAGGCAAAGAAACTGCTCTGTGGTATGATAACTCTGAATTTGAATTACGATTGGCCACATCCAGGAAAAACGAAGAAAGAATGTGTGTGTTGGGGAGGTGGGAGGTGGTCTTTGGTATCAGGCCAGTTTGCTGACAAAGTCATTCCAACAGGTTAAAACACGTTTTTGAGTCTTCTCAACCCCTCTCCTTAATTCCTGCCCTCCTCCTTTGGTCGGCCACCTCTTGCACTCTTGCGGTTCAGTCTTGCGTTGTGTCTCATTTCCATTTCAGCCAGATCAATTTCACTCAGTTCAGGGTAGAAAAGATTTGATGTGGCATTTCCTGTAAGTCTGATATGTATATTTTCATCTTACAGACTGCATCATTATCAGCAGTAGGCAGTGTTGGGAAGGTTACTTTTAAAATGTATTCCATTACAGATTACAGAATACATGCCCCAAAATGTATTTTGTAACGTATTCCGTTACGTTACTCAATGAGAGTAACGTATTCTGAATACTTTGGATTACTTAATATATTATCATGCTGTTTACAACTACATG